GCCATGCCGCTCCATGTCCCCGGGCTCCCCGCTACGCGCTTCATCCCCTGCCTGCCTGCCTGAGCTCTGCTCTGCTTGCTGCGGAGAGGCCGATGGAGTCCTCGCTAGCTCGCCGGGCAGGATCTGTGGCGCTTGCTGTGTGCGCTTAGCTCGTGTGTGGGGTGGGGAGGGTGATGGCTGTGAGCAGGAGCCGGGGAGGGGGTGCCTGGCTTGTGTGAGATAGACGAGATGGGAAAGGTGATGGGGACTGGGAGAGGGGGCGCCTGGCTTGTGTGTGACGAGATGGTAAAACTGATACTATGAGATGGTGGTGGGGTACCGCTGCCTGCCTGGTGTTTTTTGAGATGCAGAGTGAAATGCAAATGGAACGCAAGTAATAACTGAGCTGAGCATCCACCATGTGGTGTTGGGTACCTCTGCTAGCTATAGCATCAGGAAATTTCGTGGTAGCTTCCTTCCTTGGCCACGTCATTTGAGGGTACGTGCATTTCCGTGCACGCGGTTTCTCACATGTTCACCATTTACTCTTCGTCCCAGCGTTAGTCCTCTCTCCTTGAACACTTCCTAAACTTCTGGGTGAAAAGCTCGGTCATTGCCCAGTCACAAATTTATCATCCCCTCTTATATTCAACCTAAATGTCGGGGCTGACTAGCACCCTCCAAACTCAACCTATACATGGGGTGGATATAGGGCAGTTCGGACGTGGCCGCCACATCGGATCGGCTCACCCTGACCCCAAAAATATCCCTCTCTGATGACCTTTGGCCTTTTCTGATATAGCATGTATTAGATCCAAATTCGGCAACTTCGGATCCGTCGACTAGGATCTGCGAGGACGTGGAGTTAGCCGAGTGAATGGCTCTCCATGGGCCCCTCAAGGAAACTCGAGCTCCGTTGTAAAACTCACCCTGACCCCAAAAAACGCGCGTCGCGCCAGTGCTTACTGGGCCGGCCTAGCGCACGTCGCCCTAGCTCCAGCACAGTGCGCCTTCGCCCCAACGCTTACTAGGGCCAGCCTAGCGCACATTGTCCAGGCTCCCGCCGCAAAACGCATGCGGTTTAGGGGTTGTTTGGATTGTGACTATGTTTGTCTTATGGTACCACATTACATTTTGCTACACTTGCCTAACTTGAATTGCTTAAATTGTTAGCCACACTTTGGCTTGCTTAAAAAAATCTTGTCACATTTTTTGCGTCTATAACATGTGGGGTTCATTTCTCATAAAAAAAATTATTGCCTTAAATGTGGCTAGAACCAAACACACAGGCCATACCATAGAAAAAAGATCTAGTTTCCTTTCCCTCATCAACCTGCTGTTGTCGTTCTTTTATTTAACGAAAGAATCTTTCCGTCCGTATTGAGCAACTCAAATTCCTAGAAAGCCCTTGGTGCACCCACCCAGTGAGTAATTACTAATGCAGTGAGTAACTACCAACTTAATTTGGTCAAATTTATCTAAGATGAGATATGGCAAAGTGCGACAATTTGTGGCTGGAAATCAAACATCCCCTTAGTACCACCTCTTGCGGCGCGTTGACCAGCTTAAATACCTGGCGTGCGCACACCATCAAGCTCCTCTCTTTTACTTATGGCTGCAATGCCAACTTAGCCACCCTATGGGGCCCGGTTTCCGCCATTGCGCGCGCCAAAAGCCTGTCTATTGTCGTATGTGTGGGCTTGATTTCGGATGGCCCGACTAGGATACACCGGTGGCCTGGGCGGCCACTTTTTTTTTTTAAACTGTAGAATGAAAACTGAATGTTAAACATGGCCGCTAATGTGGATTGCACATGTTACAGCATAGAACAACGTGGAATATGCCTCATATAACAGACACATAAAACGTGCTACTCAAAATTCTTTATTACAAAAATACAAATCATCTACGCAAATGTCGAGTAACTTATTGTCTGCCATCGAAGAATGAAGTACTAGTTTTGTCTTCACACCATGTTGCTACATAAAAAGACATGAACAATTGTGAGAATCAACCGATAAAACCAAACAACATAATTAACTAAAACAAACAAAAATGCATATTCTAGATTTTGACTGCATGGTGGCCTTGTTATGACGTTTTCTCTTCATATGCTACATAAATGGTTGCTTCTCTGGTCGAATGCTTTTGGTCTACTATTTTTAGTCGCCAGAGGGTCCTCCTCCTTTCAGCGACATTTTGTCTTCTACTTAGGTGCTCGCTTGATGAAAACTTTTACTGGATCACCAACCAAAACATGATCTCGGTTTGGCTGACATGTGTCTTTATTCACGAAGCTTCGGCGGCCATCTTCTTCGTTCCCGACCCTGTTTACTCGATATTATATCGTACAGATACTCCTTCATCTTATCGAATAAGAATGGATAATTGCATGCCACATGAAATGCTTCAACTAATCCCTACTAGCAGATTCAGTCAAACAGAAGATGAAACAAATTTGTCTACACGAGTTCCCTACTGATGAAACAGAAGTTTAGTCAAATAGAATATTAGAGTGATGGATCAGTAGATTACAGGTGAGGATGCTTGACTGTCAAAATTAAAATTTGAGTACTATATCACTGTGAAACGAAGATCTACTTGAAAACATTGTGTGAAGATCCTAGGTATCACTGTGATGGTGCTTTTCCTTCTTGGAGTCTTTGCATTTCCAGGTGATTTCAAGAACTTGAGTTGTCCCATTGCTTTGTTTCGATGTTCACTAGCTGTCAAATTTAGTTAATCAGACCTTCCATTGATTCATCATTTTGTGTAGTCCCCTGATTCGGATTACAGGTCAGGTGCAAATGAGGACTACACCATTGTCTCTGACTACAACCAGAAGCATTATCCCATCAGGTTTGTTGTGAGACACGTCAAGAGCGTATTTTACGACTGCTTGTACTAAGATCTGCTTTTACTTTCATAATTTTCCAGCTTGGAACTAAGATATGCTTGTACTGTCATACTCCTTGCAATTTGTAAAACTGAGAAGTGTATTTTCCATTTTGAAACTAAGATCGGGAGTGCGTTTTAGTTTGTAAAATTGACAAATGTATTTTCCATTTTGAAACTGACATTTGCTTGTACTGTCATACAATAATTCCAGATTGTAAAACTAAGAAGTGTACTTTCCATTTTGAAACTGAGATCGGCTTGTAGTACTGTCATAATTTTCAATTTGTAAAATTGGAGTACTGCAGAAGTGTATTTTCTATTTTGAAACTGAAATTTACTATCTATCCACTGTCAAAACTAAAAATTTGAAACAAAAGCTTTGTCAATGAGATGCTTTGACTAAAATAAAATAAGGTTTGTCACTGCCAAAACTGTCTAAATGGCCATCAAGCAATGAAATTTGGCCAATGTGTTTATGGTTGCATGGTCTCACGGATTAATGGGAGTATATCATCATCTAGACCATATTGTACAAATATTGCAACTTGTGCTCATTTTTACAATTCTCATATTTACTTAACAGATTACCAAACCCCTTATTTGCAGTGCAAGTGTAAACTGAAATTTTAGTTGTAGATATGTAAACTGAAATTTTAGTTGGAGATATGTAAACCATAATTTCTTGTTTGACCAGATGCAGTAGTGATGTTTGAAAAATATACTCCATGTTTACTTGGAGTAGGCCCTAGTTAGCATATTGGAGTACTAGTGTAGT